CTAATGGGATTTCTTTATTTCTTAATTGTTTGATCTGGGGGTGGACAATTTAGATTGGTTGTTCCTCATATGTATAGTCATCTTTCAGAAGCACATGAGTCAGCTCAATAACATGTTGCGAATCCCTTAGATAATCCCGAAGCATTAAGATATGGAAAACATTATGCATATGCTCCATGACTAGAGATAAGGCCACTTGATAGGTCACCGAATTGATCTTCTCAATAATTTTGTACGGACCAACATATCAGGGTGCTAACTTCCCCTTTGTCCCAAACCGTGTCTATCTTTTCATTGGAGTCACCTTGATAAACACATTCTCTCTTTCTTCTTCTGACATATGCATAACTTTTCTAACGACTTTGTGCAGTTTTCAACAGTTGCTGTATCAACTTTACTTTCTCAATCATCTCTTGTACAAGTTTAAGTCCCAATAACGATCTATCACCAACTTTGGCCCAACAAATTGGTGATCGACATTTCTTCCATACAGAGCTTCATAAAGAGGAGCCATACTTATACTTGAGTGGTAACTGTTGTTGTACACAAACTCAGCCAGTGGCAAATAAGTTTCCCAGTTTCCTTGGAAATCCAGAATGCAAATCCTTAACATATCCTCCAAAGTATGTATAGTTCTTTCTGATTGACTGTCTGTCAATGGATGATATGCACTGTTGAGTCTTAACTCAGTTCCTAAGGCTTGTTGCAAACTTTGCCAGAATCTTGAAATGAACTTGGAATCTCTGTCAGACACTATAAATATTGGCATTCCATGCAATCTTACATTCTTATCAATATAGATATTAGCCAATTTATCTGCATTATAAAAAGTCTTAATAGGTAAAAAGTGAGCACACTTAGTCAAACGATCAACAATAACCTAGATATAATCCATACCTTTAGAAGAACAAGGTAGTCCCACAATGAAGTGCATCGTGATATGCTCTCATTTCCATTCCGGTATTGGAAATGGCTAAAGCAATCTCGTGGGTCGTTGATGTTCGCCTTTCACTTATTGGCAATGTAAACATTTGGCTACAGAGTCAGCAATACACTTTTTCATTCCAAGCCACTAGAAATTTTGTTTAAGGTCTTGGTACATCTTCGTGTTTCTCGAATGTATAGAAAATTTAGAATTGTGGGCTTCATTCATGATACATTTTCTTAATTCAGAATGGTTCGGCACACAAAATCTACCTTGAAATTTCAACACATTACTCTTAAACACAAATCTCGGTTTCGATTTTGAGTCAATTTCTTCAACAATCTTTTTCAAAAACTCACCTTCTAACTGATTTTCTTTAATCTCTTTAATCATTGCTGGTTGTGCATAAATGACAGCTAAGGTTCCACCTCGCTCTCGTAAAACAATCTCAATTTCATTTCTTTCTAAATCACATAACAACTCTTTTTGACCGGTGAGTAAACAAGCCAAATTCCCTATTGCCTTTCTACTCAAAGGATCTTCAACGATATTCACCTTTCCCTGATGATATAAGATTTACAGATCATAATCTTTCATTAGTTCCAACCTCCTTCTTTGTCTCATATTTAGTTCTTTTTGAATGAAGACGTATTTCAAACTTTTGTAATCAGTGTACACCTCACAAGTCGTCCCATATAAATAGTGTTGCCAGATTTTCAAAGAAAACACCACAGTTGCAAGTTCTAGATTATGGGTCGGATAGTTCTTCTCATGAGGTTAGAGTTGTTGGGACGCATACGCTATTACCCTTCCATTTTGCATTAACACACACCCCAAACTTTATATGTGGCATCACTGTAGATTGTGAACCCATCTGTACTAGAAGGCAAAGTCAAAATTGGTGCAATTATTAATCTGGTCTTTAACTCTTGGAAGGCCGATTCTCTTTGATCATTCCACTCAAAAGGTACACCTTTCTATTTCAATTGGGTGAGTGGCAAAGCAAGTTTGGAGAAGTTTTTCACAAATCTTCTGTAATAACCGGCAAGTCCTAGAAAACTTCAGACTTCAGTCACTGTAATAGATCTAGGCCAATTCACAATAGTCTTAATCTTCTGTGGGTCAACGGATATGCCATCCTTGTTAATCACATGCCCCAGGAAGGTTACACTGTTAATCCATAATTCACATTTGGACAATTTTGCATATACCTTTTTCTCTCTCAATGTTTGCAAAACAGTTCTCAGATGGATTTCATGCTCTTCCTTGCTTTTAGAGTCAATCAGAATATCATATATGAACACAACAACAAATTCGTTAAGAAGCGGTTTAAAGACTATTCGTTAGATCCATGAAGGCAGCCGGTGGGTTAGTTACCCTAAACAGCATTACTAAAAACTCATAGTGCCTTATATCTAGTTCAGAATACGATTTTCTCTATATCCTCTACTTTAACTTTTAACTAATGCCCCTTAAAGTTGGTCAAACAAATCATCTATACAAGGCAACGGATATTTGTTCTTCACAATCACTTTCTTCAACTCATAGTAATCTATACATAGTCTCCAAGTCCCGTCCTTCTTTTTGACAAACAAAACTGGAGCATTTTAAGGTGAAGTGCCCGGTCAGATACATTTCTTGTCGAACAATTCTTGCAGTTGAATTTTCAATTCTTTCAATTCAGTTGTTGACATTGTATATGAGATTTTAGAAATTGGTTGTGTTCTAGGTATTACTTCAATGGTGAACTCAATTTCCCTATGAATCAAGTCTCCGGGTAGTTCATTAGGAAAAACATCAGGAAATTCACTAACTATAGGGATATTTTCCACATTAACACTCTCTGTAGTCACATTCAAAACACAACACAACACAACACAAATAACCCCTCACAACTACAAAATCATAAATAGATCACACTTTTTATGTGTGATGTATGTTATTTAATCACACGTTTTAAATTGTGTCAAAGTGTGATCTTTGGGAGTGTGATTCAAAAGTCATTTTTAATTACACGTTTTGAGTTTCATTAAAAGATAATTTCATCACACTTTATACGTGTGATAATAAATATTTAGATCACACTTTTTACATGTGATAATAAACATTTAGATCACACTTTTTATGTGTGATGTATAACTAATAAAACCTGTGATAATAAACACTTAGATCACATATTTTAAGCGTGATTAATATCTAATAAAAAATGTGATTAATAATGAAATAAAATCACACGTTATATGCATTTCTCATCACAGTTAATGCGTGTGATAAAAAAAAGAGATTCGACATATTTGAAGAATAATCAATATTATTTTTGTACGCATTTGAAGAATGTAATACACATTATGTACTATCCTTTGATTCAAAAACATATATTGAATAGAATAAAGTCATATATTTCATAAATAAAAATTGAATATTCAAAAGAATATGCAAAGGAATTAATAAAAAAAAAATTTAACTGTGATTATATATATTAAAAAAATGAAAAAACTTGAAGTACAAAGTCCTTGAATTCTTTGACCATATTTTGCATCTCTCAAAGCAATTTTCTGACTTGAAAAATGAAAACACAAATTAATTCATAGGCAAAATTTGCCTCTTCCTTGGAAATAATTTTGGGCTAAAGGCAAAATAAAGGCAAGAAATTCACAAAGATATGTGTTTGGATCAAAATAATTGAGATAATGTGGTTATTATATTTTATGCACTTTGACTATAAAATAATTTTTGGGTAGTGGTACATGTGACTTTTATAATAAAAATTGGATAGCCTTTGATTATAGATATCCCAATCCACATTAAAAAATAATCTAACTAGAACAAGAGATATCCCAAAATCTTCAAAGGTTGGCTAGTTATCCATCCAAATATAATAATAAAGAAGGTCATCCAACCACAAATGAAAATGAATGAATCAGCTAGGCAACTCCAACACAATTAAGGTCAATATCAAATGAGACTAAAATGACATACCTATATAGTTGTGGACCGTTGCCATGAAAGCCAGTACGGATTGACTTGATTGATTCCTTACCAGAGAAAAGATAGGTAATCAAGATTGTTAAGCTATCTACACAACTCTGAAAGGGAAGAAGTCTTTCAACAAGCAGAGATTCACTCCTAAAGCTGAAAAGAAAGCATTTTTCCATCTTTATTTTCCTATCATAGCTCCGCACACACACTCACATAAGGAATGAGTCTGGTACGGACACCACCACATGATTGCTTTCATCCTGACTCCTTGCTCGTTCTATACTGCTTATTTTGCTCCTTTAATTGGATTACGGGGGTATGGCAGCATATGTCTCTCACACTGTATGATGCAAAGTTAGGATCCAAAAGGCATCTAAGCCCCTAAGAAAGGCTTAGAACTTCATTGAAAGATGTTATACGATCCCCTAAAAGAAAGGGGGTGGTCTATTTGCTTGTTTTATTACTTCATTCATGGGGACTGATATGAACAAGAAGGTAGAAATCATAATTCTACGAAAACCCATCAATTAGCAATGAGGAGGATAGGTTTTCGTGTTTTCAAACCCGTTCATTCCTTTAGTGATACCACTGGATGACTGTAAGCAAGCTTAAAACACCAAAAGGCCTTACACCACTACATAAGAAATAGAAAGGTAAGAAATTGCATTAAAAATAAGCATCTTGAAGAGCCAAGATCAAACCCATGGTATACAGAAAATAATAGATAAGGAAAAGAAAAAAAGTGCATGTACACACTTGGCAACAAAAGCAGGTAAGGGAATGAAAAGAAAATAGCACTCCAAAAATTTAGAGCTCTCAACACTTGACCCACAACAATGGACTTACTTAACAAAAGTACCATCATATTTAAGTACCTGTATATAAAAACTTAGAATAAAAATATGGTAACTCACATCACTAAACCCACAGCCTTACACACTCACACATATACCTAAACTAGTGGTGTAGGCGTTGTGCTTCGCATGATTAGCCTTGCCCATGATTAAAAAAAAAAAAAAATTTGAAGTGTTAAAGTTCTACAAGTTTCAGAATATTTTGTGTGTAAAGTAATGTTCACTTATAGGAAAGCCAATAGTATAGTATGGACCATTTCTTATTAAAAATGCTTCATGCAAACAGAAGCTTAAAAGCAAAGAAATATGAATCCATGGAAATAGAAGATACCAAAATAGCAAATTGAACATGGTAAAAGTTAACACAAGTGGAAAAAGAAAAAGAGAGAAAAAAAAATGAATTTTTTAAACAACATAGATAGAAACTCATGGACATAGACGATACCCAAAGACCACAAAGACTACAAATTTTCTCGTTGCTAGCTCATGCTCAAAAGTAAAAAGATAAACTGCTAGCTTTTCTGGCTGCTAGCTCATGCTCAAGTGCAGAAAGATAAATTGCTAGTCCTGAAATACCAGCTCCCAAATTCGAGAACCACTTTCCAAACACACAACAAGTTGACTCGGATTTCACATCATTGAATGAAACTTGGGAGGGATGTTCTACAAGGACAAGCAAAAAAGAAGCAGCAGTATTTTTATTTAACATCTTAATTGAAAAAGAAAAATATAAAAATTGAGTAACAAGAGTAAAGTATTAATAGCGTAAAAGAAAAGAAAATTCAAGAACGATAATGCGGAAGAAATGTGCACTTAAAGTAACAAGAGTAAAGTATTAAAATATCAGGTTCATGAATGATTTGTGACGTTGTCGTAATATATACTAAGAATGCCTGGACTTTGTTAACTTTAGTTAGGAAATAATATTCACCTTCTTTATGTATTTTCTTTTCTTTTTGAGTAAGGGTATCAACATAAAAAACTCTTAGGCTACCTTTTCTTAAAAGGATATGTGCATGCCCATAATCGTTGTTGTCTGAATATAGATGAACCTACAAATTTTAAATTTCATGAATATTTTATTCCTATCAAGACCTAACCATTAGACAAGAATACAGAACAATAAAAATGAAAAGAAAATCGTATCAGAGTAGAAAAACTCTGAGGCACATTTAACATTATCTGAGAATTTATAGTCATGTCAAAATCAAATTAATCCACTATTTCATTTTCCCCATGATCAAATGTGGATTAAGATATTGTCCCAATCATTACAATTTTTATTTTTATTTTTTTCACTTTCTTCAAGTCTATAGCATTGCAAGAGCTTAAAGAGTATGCGAGACAAAAATATTTCATTTTTTTTTTTGAAGAAACAAATCTTTCAAATCACATTAATCAAAGACACATAGGAAACAAAGATTGAAAATTTGTATCACTAACTTAGACATACATGAAACTCAATAAAGAAAAAAAGGGAAAAGGCAGAGAGCAACCTGTAACTTTGACACCATGTTGTGTTGAGAGAATTGGTTTTGCTCTACTGCTGGTTTTCATTTGAATAATTGGAAGAATCTGAATCATTCCCATCATCTTGGCTGTTGTTAAATTCATTCTACTCAACTTTATCTTCACTCTTAATATAAAAACTCTGTAACATCAAATTCTTCTTCTTCTCCTTCTCCTTCTGGGTGTCCTAAACATTGACATATTAATTAAAACTTTGATCTTTGTTAAGAAGTTTAATATAGAAATTGTGAACATATTAAATTAAAAAAAAAATTGTTTTCTAAAACCTTTGTGGATTTAGATATTATCAAATATGGATTTAGATATTATCTCAATCATTACAATTTTTATTTTTTCACTTTCTTCAAGTCTATAGCATTGCAAGAGCTTAAAGTGTATGCAAGACAAAAATATTTCATCATTTATGTTTTTTTTTTCCTTGAAGAAACAAATCTTTCAAATCACATTAATCAAAGAAACATAGGAAACAGAGATTGAAAATATGTATCACTAACTTAGACATACGTGAAACTCAACAAAGAAAAAAAGAGAAAAGGCAGAGAGCAACCTGTAACTTTGACGCCATGTCGTGTTGAGAGAATTGGTTTTGCTCTACTGCTGGTTTTCATTTGAATAATTGGAAGAATCTAAATCATTCCCATCATCTTGGACTCTGTTAAATTCATTCTACTCAACTTTTTATTCACTCTCAATGTAAAAACTCTGGTCTAACATCGAATTCTTCTTTTTCTTCTTGTCCTTCTAGGTGTCCTAAACATTGACATATTAATCAAAACTTGGATCTTTGTAAAGAAGTTTAATATAGAAATTGTGAACATATTAAATAAAAAAAAAATTGTTTTCTAAAACCTTTGACTATACGATTTTGACCATTTGTATCTAGTATTCAAATCCAAATCAATCAACAGAAGAAAGTGAAATAAAAGTTGAAATTCAAAATACATACTTTTTATATAGTTATGTTAGTCTAAATCCCACTACCTCACTTTTGGAAGTTTTTCTTGACTGGAGTATCCTGTTATAATCATGTAAGTCGTCAAAACAAAGAAAAGAATCATATTTGGATACATAGTTAGATGCAAACACACACAAACATATATATATATATATATATAAGATAACAATAAAATTAAATATTGGTAAATAAAATGCGCCTTTAAACATAAAATTATCTGCTAAAATAATGCAATGATTAAAAGCGATATCCGAATCGCCATTTAGAAAATTACATGTTGGACGTTGATTCATTTAGAATAAGCAAAAATAAAAAGTAAAAAAAAATTGACATGAAGACATCTGGCAAAGACCAATAGAGATGTGTGTAAATATACATATACATGTGAAGTTTGCAAAAAAATAAAAAATGCAATTGAGAATGTAGAATCGTGATGGCCTAACAAACATCTCTTTTGAATCATTGCATTTCCTAGATCTAATTTTCAAACCTTCAACAAAACTTTTGTTTCCTTCCTCGTTCATTCTTGGTTGTTGGCTTTCATCTGCTATTTTCTAGTAACTTTTGATATATCCAGTGTAGAAAGAGAGGATATATCAAACTTTTGAATTTTTGTTTTTAAATACCACAAACCCAAAATGTTGAACAATGGGTAGAGAGTTACCTTCAAAGAAAGAAGAGTTCATTGTTGTTATTCAATAACTCTGACCACCATAGTACCAGCAAAACTCTTAACTTTTCTTAAAATAAATAAACAAACTAAATGATGAGCTAATGCAATCATCAATATTCATTCTCTTTGAACTATCCATGAAAAGATTCCCATTGCTGTAGATATCGTAGCATAGAGGACTTCAACCCATTTTTTTCTTCTCTATAAATTTTGTCATAAAAATAATGAGTTCCAACACTACCCAACCAAACACCACCAATTTAACATACTGCTCACAAAATCCAAACTAAACTAAAACAATTATTAATATAAATAAAAAGGAATTTGAGATAGAGCAAAAATTCCAACGATAGTATTAAAAACCACAGGAAACAAATGTGAATGAAGAATTTATAGTTATTTAACATTTAAAATGTGTAAACCAATAAAAATAAGAGTAAGCATGAGAAATGAATAGAAGATGTTTCTTACCTAAAATAAAAAATAGTCCTTCCAACACCAAAAGCATCACCTATTTACACCAACATAAGAGAAAACATAGCATAGTTTTAAAGAGATTAAAAAAATACACCCAAATACCGTATAATACACCCAAAAATAAATAAAATCTATAGAGAAGAAATAGATCAGAAGAAGCTTAAGAAATTAAGGGAGAACATTTCTTACCTAAACAAAAGAAAAGTATTCCTTCCAACACCATGAATCAAATAATCACCCTTTCACTCAGAAAATCATAAGAAAATTATAAACATAAGAAACATGAATCATAAAAAAAATTATAAGAAAATTAGAAACATGAATCACATTTATTAATAAGATGATGAGCCATGAATCACAATGGAATGGAAACCACCCACAGAATCACAATGGAAAAATTAACCACTACTTAATAATAAAATTTATGAACTAAAGTTAATTAGAGAAACTCCTATTAACTATAGTTCCTAGTTAAAGTTAGAAACAGAACCAACCTCATTTTTGTTTGATGTCCCTTTTTTCTTGCCTTTTAATGTATTAGAAGCCCCTGAAACCCATTAAAGAGAAACCCATAAAACTCATTTCATAGAAAGAGACCCATTTCACAACTGTTTCATAGAAATCATTAGGAATGCTTTTTGTGAAGAAGCATGATCACGCCTAACATTCATTAAGTGAAGAATATTAGGCATGAGAGCACTCAAATTACAAGTATTCACAAAGCATGAGGACCAAAGTCCAAAAAACAGAGTTCTCATGTCCAATACAATTTGACAGAGTGCTAATAACTAATATCCGAAATCAAAGATGAAACCATTTGATAAACCGATTTCAGATTCAGAAAATAGAAATAGAAACTATCTAGGAAACCCATTTCAAAGAAATCACACCATTTCATAACTGAAATCAAATCAGTTTGAAACTATTTCACTCATAGAAACCCATTTTAGAAAATAGAAAGTGAAATGGAAGTTTCGTTACCTGTATGGAAATGGTGTGATGGTAGTGATACACTGGTCCAACGAGACAGAAATGGGGTAAGCTGAGGTAGCGACCCAAAAAAAAAAAAAAAAAAGGGATAAAACCCTAGATAAGTCTCTCTGTATCTTATTTTCTTGCATTTTCTTCTCTCTAGACTGTTACTGTCTGTCATCATTATTTCCAAGGCGCTCATGTGCGTGCGACTAGGAAGCACGGATATGGATATAGTGATACGGGGATACAGATACAACGATACGTCAAAATCTAAAAAAATATGATATAGGTATGGTGGGGATACGTTCATAAAAAAATATTTTTATAATTTTAATAATGTATTATGCATGAAAATAAAACTTAAAGTAAATTAATAAATAAAGAGATGGATTTCTATTAACCTAAAAGTCTTCAAACATTCATAAAACATCCAAAACTAAAAGTAAAAGCAAAGGCAAATTAAACATCATCCTTGCATGCCAACACCAAAAAAAGAATGAGAGCAGAGAGAATAAACGTGAGAGAGTGAGAGAGTGAGAAAGCGAGAGAGAAGTGAGAGAGACAATACAGATACATCAATTTGACGAATTTTATTACTTTAACTCTCACTATATTCCTCTTATCAAAGAACTAAACAAAATATTATAAGTAATATGTAACTTCGAGTATCTGATACTTCAAAATTAATTAAGAAGTATCCGATATTTTTAAGAAGTGTTCGATACGTATCCGCAAGTATCCAAGGAGTATTGGTATCCAATAAGTATCTGATACGGATATGTCTCCTTTTTTGAAGTATCCGTGCTTCATAGGCATGCAAAAAAGCAAGCGAGAGAGTATTTTTGAGTAAGAGAGAGAGAAAAAGAGAGGCCATTCCAGAGACCAGAGTGATAGTGGTTTCAGATATGGTAGACTAAGAAAACTGAATTAAGGCTAATGAATTAGAAAGAGAGACAAAGAGAATTGGAAAGGAAGAGTCATGTTGTGATTCAATATATATATATATATAATGACACTTAATTAAAAAGTGACATAAAAAATATATATAATCACATTTTAATTAGAAGGTGTGATTACAAAAATATATATATATATATATATAAACACACTTAATGAAAAAGTGATACAAAAAATCATAACTTTAGCACCTTCTACAATGTGCACCTTCTACAAGGGCATATGATATGCACTTATTGTGTGGTGTATATTGTGCCATGTCATAAAAAGTAACCTATTAAACAGGTCATTAAATAGGTTACATGATAGAATTATAACTTTATTTAAAAATCATAACAGTTACTACAATGAATCATAACAATGTCATAATATACACTATGGTGTCATAATAAAGATACTATCAATCATAACAATATGACAACGACTCATAACAAATGTAGTTATTTCCAACAAATTATTGTAACATTTGAATTGTAACATTTTTTTTATTATGATTCACCGTAACAAGTCATAACTTTTTGTAGTACAAATCATAACTTTTACTAATGAATCATAACCATAACACAATGACTATAACTTTTTTTCCACAATCATAATGACATTAACAAAACATCATAACTTTTACTAATGAATCATAACATAGCACGTTGATTGTAATTTTGTCTCTAAAATCATAACAATATTAACAAAACATCATAACTTTTAAAATTTTAAACACAATTAATTGTGTAATCAATTGGTATGGCATATTAGAGTAAATGGAAAATCATAATTGATTGAAAAATTGATTGGTTTCAAAGACCACAATTGATTATACAATCGATTAGCAGCCCGATTTTGAACAATCACAATTGATTGTACAATCCATTAGAATATAAGGGAGATTCAAATATCACAACCGATTGTACAATTGATTGAAGGGATTCTTGATATAATAAACATAATTGATTCAATAATCAATTAGTTTTCATAAGGCACACTAAACCAACTAATTCCCAACTTATTCATAGTTCCCAATCAACTAGTAAAAGCCTAATCATTACTATCAATTTAGTCAATATTCGAATAGTAACTGATCAGTTCATTCATCGCCATTTTTATATAATTATGTTGTTGTGTTGCCATTCTCAAACATTATCACTAACAAAAATGCATGACACTCCAACTATGTTTCTCACTCTACGATTCTCTCTCTCTTTCTCTATATATATATACCTAAAATGTTGTTGCTATGACTATCTCATCGACTCTCACTCTTTCTTTCCTTGTCGTTATTAGTGAATTAGACAACAACGTTATTGTTACCAACTTCAATTAATCATGCCCTCTGATCTATTGAAACACAGCCATCATCATCAACTTAGACCACTATAATAGCATTGTTGCCGCTACTAGTGTCATGTTGTCGTCATGTCCAAATGATGACGTCGACTATAAATCACTTCGACACATTTATAACTCTAGTACATACCAATATTAGTCCTTGCCTAATATTTTGTAGTTGGTCACTAACTTTTTACTGTCACTTCTTTTTAAAAACAATAAATTGTATTTTCATTCTTAGATATATATTGTTTGTCATTGTACCCACCTTAGTCTCCATATTATTTGTCTTTTCTTATTTTTGGTCCAATTTGCTAACTTATGAGGGTAACTGTAGAATTTTAAAAATTAACTTTCCTACTTTGATCACTTAGAATACTTTGTTTTCCCATTTCAAAATAGATAGGTCATGGCAAGCGATAAATGAAAGTGTTCTATGATGGAGGATTGCATGTTGAGGTGGTCTATAACGGAGGTTTTCGTACAAATGAAGGTGAACTTGACCCATGCTACATTTTCCGTCAAAAAGTATAACATTTGTTACAATTTGGACCAAAGTGAAAAGAATATTATAGTTTCACGACCAAAGTGAGAAAGTATTCATAGCTAAGCGAGGTGAAGGTGTAATTTACCATTTTACAAAATGTAAACCATGCCCTAATCTGTGAAGAAATTGTTGACGTAATTAATATCATAATAATTAATATTTATTATTAGAAAATATGCTAACATAATTTAATATGAAGATTTAACAATTTTAATAAAGGTAAAAGAGGAAATATCATTTTGTCTCTTATACTATCACTGAAAAAATAATTTAACCTCTATTGTTTTATAATAATATTAATTTTACACCGAGTTTATTTGATTTTGGATTAATTTTACTCTCGCTATTAGCTTCTGTTTATAATCCAACAAAAGTTGCTAACATGGCAATGAAATTCGAATTTTCATTTTACCCTCCACACTATCTATGAAATATCAATTAGACCTCCAAACTTCATTTTATTCAGAGAACTAATTGATATTTTGGGTGCCACGTGAGCAGCTTCTAGTTGATTATAGACTGTGATTGATGGTGTAGTAAAATTGATGCAAAATCGAATAGTTTAGATATAAAGTAGATATTATTAAGAGAACAGTGGTTGGATTGTTTTTTGAGTTATAGTTTGAGGGAAAAATGATATTTTCACAAAGTGAAATTTCAATAAATTCTTTTTTTAAAAAAAATATAGTTTGAGGAAAATAAAAAATAAAAAGATATTCATAAATTTGCATTTTTAACAAGTACTCTAGGCTCTGGAAGGCTAGAAGGAAAAATAAACATTGATAACTGTGGGAGCCGAATAATAGGGGACTCAGAAGGGCCGAGTACATATTAACTAAATTAGGATATTTATTATATTCGCCTCTACGTTCTAGGTGCCGAGTATCTTAATCAGCCATAACGCCAGCTAAACCGGGAGGGGGGGCGATTAGAAGTTGGAATACAACTAAAGGAAGGTTGAATGAATAAACACACGACAGATTAAGAGTGGGCCCTACCCTGAGGACCAGGAATGTATATAATAGAAGAATAGCAACCAAAGAGAGGCATGTGAGAAAAAGTAAGTTTAACTTGAGATATAAGTAACTAAGAGAGTATACACTAACTTATTCGTCGGAATGCTAATTCCGGTACCCCCGACCGGAGTGTTCATTCATTTTCAGGTGACTAGCTGAGGATTACAAGCGTCTTACAGGATTTAAAGAGTATTTCCAAACCGCTTTTCAACAATTGGCGCTGTCTGTGGGAATACTCAACTACATCCATGGTGGGCGTAACGGAAGATCCTCTGATAGTTGCTGATGAAACTACATCGAGAGATGACCTCACTCCAAGAAACATGTTGGGACCAGAGAACACCACCGTAAGACATGCCGTGAACCTCGACTCAGTTGCCCAGACCTCATCCTTGATTTCAGCACATGAGACAATGCAAGCGATCATGGAACAAGCGAAGCAAAATGAACAGAGGTTGGAGAACATGATCGTTGAGAATGAGCACCTTCATCAGGATTTGGCCTTGAAAGTGGCAAAATCCCAACAAGCTGTACGCTAAGATCCGGGACGACCTCTGAGAGAGGATGTTCGACGACCTCGAGTTCGGAGACAAGCAAGTGACAGTGATTTTGACTCATCATCCCCAGAACCCAAAAAGAAGGGACGAGTCAAAACTTCCAGTTCCTCCGAAGAGAGTCCGCGTGCACAGAGTAAGCGAAGACGAAATGGTTCAGACGAAGAGGACCAACATGATCCCTTTGTGCGACGGATCGCAAAGGCAATACTACCCAAAAAGTTCAAAGCTCCATCGTTTACCTTGTTCGATGGGAAATCAGACCCCACTGATCACATTCGCCATTATAAGCAAGCCATGACGTTTCATGCAGACGACGAAGCCCTCATGTGCTGAATATTTCTGAGCAGTTTGGGACCATAGGCCGTTAGGTGGTATTATAAATTGGAACCGGCATGGATTAAGAGCTTCCATCAACTCCAAAAATCCTTCAGGGCAAGGTTCATCACCAATGAGGTCCAGTCGAAGCAGGTCGATTCTCTCTGGGCAATGCAAATCTAACTAGGGGAAACTTACGAGCATATTCGGCGTGCTATTGGGAATGCTTTAACCTCGTAGATGATGCCTGCAATGATTCCATGGCCATTACCGCCTTTAAAATGGGGTTACATCCTGATAGTGCCCCTCGCAGTTCCTTGACCAGAAGGCCCCCCAAAACAGTCTAGTCATTAATGAAGAAAGTTGAGGAATATTGCAAAGTTGAAAATAACGCCCTGCGGGTCAAAGCTGGGCAGAAAGCCAGCAAGACAACCCTATCTGATATCGT